TCCAGGCTACTTCAGTCAGTTCAATAAATTTTCCCAATCTTCAGAAAGAATGATTTATGTATAAATTGATGGATGCCCTTCCTGCGCTGCAAAACTGTTTATTCATTTCGGAAGCCAACTCGCCTCAATCTATTCTTTAGGGATCACTTAAGTTAAAGTAAAACGATGGAAGGTCGGATATTTGGTTTTCTCACTAGATGACTGCATTTTCTCATAGTGTTAAAAAGCCTTGCTATCTTAGTCCTTCGAAAAGATGTAATGGCCGTTCCGGGCTCCACCCGATCGGTTTTAGGTAATAACGTGAAGTTTACTTTAACTATATTTTCTTTCAATTTATCTCTTTTCGATCTCAGGTGATTAAGGGTCGTGATTTCTTCGATCAGAAAGGCAAAGAACCGGCCTCCTTTGTACGCGTCGAACGAATGCTGATCATTCCGTTCAACCGTGATGAAGTGCAGAAGCACCGCGGAATATCATCGAAACGTGATGAGGCTCTCGGTACCAGAGCTCGCTACGTGCGCAAGGAATCACTACGCACCAAAGTCCGCTATGCCTCGCGTTCACCCGTCTGGAACGAGAAGTTTGAGTTCCCTACCAGCCTAAAGCAATTGTCACTCACCTGCATCGATGTCCATGTGTTTGATATCAACTCTTCGCCAATTACTAAGAAAAAAGAGGAAATCGGCTGTTTCAGAATAGGTCGCATGGGCCGTCGGGACGGTCGTGAACATTGGGCCGCCATGCTGGCGAAGCCAAACTATGCCGCCTTATTTTGGTACTATGTTTTTCTATAAAATCGCATGTATATACTTAGACTCATTTCCTGTGAATATGTTTTCTTGTCTTATTCAAAGGCTCCGCAACATTTCTATTTGCACTACTGGATTTTATTGCACCTTGGGGAAGACCAACCGACGAAATGACAGAAATAGAGTAGGCGGGTTAAGAAGTCCATCCTTCTGGTCCACCTATCAGTGGTTATAGAAGATTACCCAAACAAATGCTATTATACCGGCGAAATCAGAAATCGAGCTGTTTCAAGAGTGGAAAAGCAAAGCCTTAAAAAATGCTAGGAGGTAACTAAGATCGCATTAATATGAGAGGTATTCACCCAATTTCGTTTAAGTTGATGAAGGACTGGCAGTAGAATTTTCCCACAATGATATAAGTTAAGCTGACTTTTCCATTGAATTTCACATTGCCTTGCTTTCCCAAAAGTTGTTCTCATCCAGGCACCAGTAGACTGCAGTTTCGATTTCGCATCGGTCTTATCAACACCCTCAGCGGGAGTCGAACCACGACAGTGCAGGATGGGAGCTTGACACGCTAACCACTCGGCTGCACTGCACGAGCGCCTTTTGGGTCACAGGGCAAATGTGAATTTTCAAGGAAGGCCACACCTTTTTGCCATATCATATTATTTTGGTGGAATCGTCGATGAAGCAAACGTATATCTGCTATAACAATCGACTGAAATTAAATGGAAACGTCAGCTCAACTCATATCATTGTGAGAAAATTCTTTTTCACCAGAAGACGCTCGTGGCGGTGTAGCCGAGTGTTTAGCGTGTCAAGCTCACATCCTGTACCTTCGCGGTTCGAATCCCGCTGAGGGTTACTGGTAGTCACGAAAACAATACTTAATTCGAAAAATAAGATCGCATTGCCTAAAATTTCTGCCTATTTTTCGATCATATGACAGGAACATGAGTTTCTCCTAAACTCTTAGGAAGCCAGGAAATCAACTCAGGGGCTGTCTAGTCAAGACACTAATGTGTTTGCTCTTGAATCCAATCGTCGGCGGATTGGAACCAATCGTGAGTTCTGACGAGGCCTGAGCACGATGGAACCTGTAGTCCAGGCTGGACAGAAGGCCCTTTGAGATGCATTGAGTGCAATTCAATGAAAAATTTATTTCCTTAATTTACCATTAAAAGCTTACATTCAAAGTAAGTATTACTC